GAATTAGCTCAAGCCTATCAGCTTGCTGGTTAAAGTATATCTATAGCTAAGAGTAAACTAAGAAAAGCTATTGAAATCGATTGACTAAATGTAATGAAAACGGGGAAAGAATTTACACAATAATTATTTTTATGCATTGTAAGAGAGTAGGAAAGGAAAAACACCTGTATATCCGATTTGAGTCGACTATATTAAGCTTTCTAGAGCAAATAAAGTTCGTATTCAAGATCTGCAGGTAGTTCAAAACGTACTCATTGAGGACATAGTAACATATTCGATGGTAATCGCCCATAAATGTTTGCTTCATAATCTCACAATAAATGTAAATTGGGACAAGCCTGAATTGTCTTGGAGGTCAAATCCATTCTTTTGGCCCCTGATATCCGTAGCTGAATATCGTAATCATAAAGCGTCGTCACTTTATATGGATGATTAAGTTTCGAATCCTGCTGCGGATGTTAATTAGATTGAGAAGATATCGAAATTCATGTTTACTCTTGACGGAAAAAACCTTTTGAATGATAATTTTAAATGAAATTCTATGGCACCATGAGGTCTTATGGTTACATTGTGAGAATTCAACTATCAGTTTATACATTAGTTCAAGCAAAATAGAGTGACCCAAGCTCCCATTCTAGATCTACTTGATAGCTTAGGAGAAATCACTAGGTATGTAGAACTGTTTTTGCCACTAGCCTACAATTTAAATGTGTGGAGCGACCTTGTATTATATTCTAGTAAGCTAGTCTATAACAAAAATACCTACACCAGGCCTAATTGTTGATATATTTTTGGAATAAATACAATGGCTAATCAAATTAAAATTCCATGTAAAGTTGATCTTAATATGGGATAATAGTTTGGCGTCCATAAGGACAATTCTTTTCTCATTAGTAATCTATACTAAATATTGTTTGATACTGAATGTAAATTCAAGCATGCTTGTAATTTCCAAACCCATACTGCTATAAATATTACCAACTAAATGGACACCCCTCGGAGTTTGACA